TGCGGCGGCAGAGGAGTGGGTTGCAGCAGTGAGGGGGGCGGGGGGCGGAGCTGTCTGGGGGGGGAGGTCCCTGGGGCCCCAGGCTGAGCCATTAGTGCAGCGTGGTGGGGTTACGGCTCTCAGAGACCAGAGGCGCCAGGAGGAAACCGCAGTGGTCCTGGGGGCCTGCAGGGCATGGGGGGGAGCCCAGAAATAAGTTGGGGCTAGGGATGCCTCTGGGGCCTCTAGGCCCCCCTTGCAGCCCCAGCATGTCAGACCTGGGGGTCAGTTTCTGACCCTCGGTCTTCTCTGTGCCTTTGAGTCCTGCTTCCCACAGACCTCATAGGATCACGGCTCCTTCAGAGCGGACTTGGCTCTTGACCAAGTTGGAAAGTGTGTGTGGGGGAGCATGGCATCAGTGGCTCGCTTCTCTCTGCACCCCAGTCTGGTCTACACTGGATGGTGAGGACCCTCCAGTTCCTAAGTCCGAGGCCAGAATCTATCTCTAGATAGATCCAGATGCCAGATGCCAGCTTCCACTCACACCCCACTGTCACATGATTGTGGGTTCGCCCTGCCACCTCCAGGTATCATGGAGGCCCGCCTGCCACCCCCAGGTATCACGGGCTCCCATCTGCCACCCTCACGTCTCGGGGGGGCCCCTGCCACCCTGAAGCATCGCAGGTGCCCCATCTGTCTCCCCTAATAACTTGAATGTATTATGATTTCACATCTTTTTTAACTTTGCTAAAAGGTGGGTGCAACTCGCCAGAAAGAGAAAGTGAGAAATCACCCCCAGGGGGTGGTCACGCTGCTATCTCTTCTCCAATTTCCTCTTGGGATTTTAGGCATGCACGCACACACACACACAGCGTGATCTTCAAGCTGCCAGGTCCAGGACTCGAACTGCACGGTTAGTTCAGTCACCCTAACCTCCCTACCGCCTGCTGCCCCCACCCCCCGCTGACCTGTCTTACTCTTTTCAGTTAACATATTCTGGAGACAATGCACTATCCAGTACCTAGGAAACTTCAGTTTTGTTTAAGTTTTATGTATTTTTTCCATGAGTGAGAGACACAAGAGAGGTACCCTGAGCCTCAGGCAACCAGGGCAGGGAGTACCCAGGGAGGTCTCCTGACTTGGACCCAGAACACTGCCGTGTGACCAGCCTCGCAGAGCACTGGGTTTGGTTATCGAGCCCCCCATCCGTAATTTGTTAGAAGCCATGAACTGCCCCTAGGAGTGACATAATCTCCCACTCCCAGCAAGAAAGTGGAGCCCGCCTCTTCTAAAACAGTCCTTGGGTCAGCCGGCACCTTGAGAGGAAGATGGCTTGACCAGGTACTTCTGGTGACCTAGAGAAGATGACACGGAGGGGGTGTGGGGAGGACTCGCAGCCACTGGAGCAGAGACCCCAGAAGGCAGGGCTGTTGCTTGCAAGGTCAGTGCTGGCTGGCCCACGGGGGCAGGGGTGTGCGGCAGAGCTGAAGGGCCAGCCTCAGAATGCCTGCAGACAGCAGGACCTGGCCTGCTCTGTTTGGTGAAAAGCACATGTGGGCCGGGACCAGCAAATGGTTAAGTAGCCAGACTCCTATGTAATCGACTGCGTCTTGAGCCCCAGACCTGGTGGCATAAAACACCCTGGGTGCATGTGCATGCATGCCCCAAATCACAAGAGAATGGAGAAGGGATTGCAAATGGCCATCCCCTGGGGATGTGAATTCTCGCTTTGTCTCTGTCTCTCCAGTGAGCACATGCTCCCTATAGCAACTCTCAAAACAAACAAAAACAGCTCATGTGGGGGCCAGCAGTTAGCATGGAGGTTAAGGTAGCTGGATTCCACATGGCCAACTTCACGGTTGGAGTCCCAGTGACTTAAAAACCATGTTGGGCATGTGTGTGTGCGCCCAAAAGAGAACTGACAAGGGATTGTGGCATGGTCACCCCACAGGGAGTGATTTCTCATTCTCCACCCTCCCCGTTTTCTCTGTCTCTGGTGGGTGTACACACCCTATAGCAAACTAAAAAACAAAAACCAAAAACCAAACCTCTCCTGCCTCTGTGTATCTGGGAATTGGCAACACATCCTCATAGGTTGTCAGGACGCTAATTTACTTACTGAAATTTATTTCTACTGCCTCTCCATCCCAATTTTTTTTTTCTTTTTTGCTATAGGGCGCATGTGCTCGCCAGAAAGAGAGAGAGAAAGCGAGAAATCACCCCCCGGGGGGATGATCATGCCGCAATCCCTTCTCCTCCGTTCTCCTCTTGGGATCTTGGGCACACACGCACACGTGCCTGGTGTGTTTAAGCCAGCGGGTCTGGGACTTGAACCGTGGTTGACTACATGGGAGTCCAGCAAAATAGCCATTACGCTAACTACTGGTCCCCATCCCAAAAGCTTTTGAGGCAACTGATCAGGATCATTTGTTTAATTAGAGGTGGGCTGGCCCTGTAGCCTAGTGGTGAAGGTAGCAGATCCCACATGAGCAATTGCGGTTTAGGTCTGGCCCTGGTGGCTTGAAAAACACTGGGTACATGTGCCGCAAATCCCGATGGGATGGAGGAGTGGAAGAGAGGATTGCGGTGTGACCACGCCCCACTGGGAAGTGCGGTGTTCCTGTTGAGCATACATGCCCTCTGACGGAAAACAAGAGATAAAATGAGTGTGAGATTTCTGACAGGGTCCACCACGTGGCGACCCTCCTGCTCCAGACGCCTAGCTAGCGAGGCTCACGGGTCTGTGCTCCCGGGCCAGGCCTGTCTAGGGTGGGGAGGGCTGAACCCGGGTTCCCACGTGAGCTCAGCCACCGTGGAGCAGCACCACCCTGCTGGCGCCATTGTGGCTGGGCCGTGGTGGGCTTTTGACCGTGAGCAGGAGGAACGGTTCCACCAAAACCCACCACCGCTTTGGACTGCAGCTGCCCACCACCACAGGTGCCACGTGCCTGCCATTTCCCATCACAGGTTCAGCCGGTGTTGCAAGAAACAAGCGCATAACAGATGTGACAACTGTCCAAGGCTGTAGCATTGTCATCTTTCAGTGCTTTACCACAGGTTACCGCATCTGAACTCTTACAGGTACAGCCGGCCTCCTGGGGCCAAAGCTGAGAGGAGGCTGCACTGCTTCCCCGGGGGACTGGGGAAAAGGAAGGCCCTTCAGAGCAGCCCCCGGAGCTGTAAGGAGACTGGAATCTGGTATGGGCTGTCCTGGGGTGTAGACAGCTGTGGCGGGACCCACGTTGGCCAGGTGCCCTGTGAGGGAGGGGCAGGCAGTTGGCCAGGAAGCTGACCATGCTGGGCTGCACCATGCCAGGAGGGCTTTACTGGGGAAGGCCCACAGCTCTGCTGCCTGGGCTGTCGCTGACAGAAATGCAGTCTTGATCGTCAGGGGGAAGGCCATTAAGGCCCTGGGGTCTGCGGCAGCTTGTCCCCAAGCAGCTTCTGGTCCAACCCATACCCACGAGAGACCAGACGTCCACGCTGGCTCCTGCACTCATACTGAGCCAGTTTCCTCGTACACGCAGGGCTCCCAGCAGCAGCTGCGGGGTGAGTTCAAATTCTCAGCTGGCTGTGAAGGTGCAGTACAGGCACCCCCACCCTCACCCTGGGGAGCAGGCCTTCATGGAGTCCCCGACACGGACACGGAAGTGGTGTGAGCAGTACCAAGGTGTGAGGCCATCAGCACTGGGTGTAGGCAAGGCTGCTGGTGCCTCTGCAGCAGGACACCAGGTCCGGATTGCTCCTGGGCCCAAGGGCCCTCCCCACGTGTCTTTCTGGCCTCACAGAAGCTAACTGGAGCCCAGCCTGCCTTGTCTGTAGCTTTGGGCCATGGACTCGCATCCCTCGGGCTGTGTGCTCAAATCCCTTTTCCAGGTGAGGCTCCAGCCTGTCATGTCCTCGAGCACATCCAAGCACTCCAGGAAGGCAGTTGGGTCGACTGGGCTGTGTGGACGGTAACAGCTCCTGATGGGAACAGCGTGTGCTCTGCAGCTGACAGCGCTGGGTGGGGACCTGCGCCCTCCTGTGTCCTTCGGAGCTGGGTGTTCTCGGAGTGTAAGTGGCTGGTCCAGTCTCACTGGGGTGAAAGGCTTGAGGCACACAGGTGGGGCAGTGGCAGGCAGCCAGCCAGGCAGGCTGGGCTGTACCACCATGTGCCCTGCCTTCCCACCTGGACCCGAGAGCTAGCCCTGCTAGCCCCTGTCCCACTGAGCATGGGGGTGGGGCAATATGGAAATCAGGACTGTGTTACTAGAGCAGGGAGGATGTGGGCTTACAGTGGGCTCCTTCTCCCAGGCCCAGGGGGCAGTGGGGACTCAGGAGTGGTAGTCAGTCCCAGCCCAGACAAGCGAGATCCTAGATGGGGTAGAGGCGGAGTCCAGGTCTGAATTCCCATCAGGCTGGCAGGTAGCAGTCAGGTGCTGAACTGGGCTGGGGAGGGGCTGGGCAAGGGAGAGGACAGAGCCCAGGGCCTGGGGATCAATGACCAGCAGCCTTGGGGCACGCAGGAGGAGGCAGCCTGGCGGAAGGAGTCGGGGGCAGACAGGAGTGCGTCCCCCACCCTCCCACTACCCAGCCGCTCGGCCCAGGCTTTATTGTGAACAGGGGACACGCTGGCCCTTCTGGGGTTGGGTCCCCCAGGCTCCCTGCAGTGGGCCCCACCCTGGCCCTGACACTCAGAGGGCTGCTCTAGGCCTTGTGCTGTGGATTCCGGGGGCCTTTGGGGGCGTCCAGGGCCTGCCTCCGGATGAGCTCCGCGTAAAGCCCGCCCTTCTTCAGGAGCTCTTCATGGGTCCCGGCCTGGAACACAGGAGGGGGGACGATCACCCCAGCCCTGCACAGGTCAGAGCCCCAGAGGGCTGGTCTTCCTGAGCGGCCACTGGCCAGTGTCCCTCCTGGGGTGATGCCCAGTATGGAACATCTGGGACGGTTACGTGTCCCCATGCTGCATCTTGACAGGACATCTGGTTCCTCCTGTCTCTCGACAGAGCCCAAGGCTCCAACCAGGGCCCAGCGCCCTGAAGCTCTGCTCCTGACTGGTCCTAGCCAGGGCCTGGTGCGGCCGCCCCTGCCCCATGCCTACCACCCTGCAGCACTGGGCATTTTCCACGTGCGTTCCTCCTACCCCGGGGGCCGACGGGATGGCGGCACTAGCCCCAGGAGCAGGAACCCCTGGATCTTTGAGGAACACTGCTTCTAGAATGAGGCCTGAGCCCCCAGAACCAGGCCGGCCACCACGCAGCTCAGCTGAGCCACCTGTTCCTATCCATGACGCCGACTCTAAGCCACCAACCCACTCCTGGGCCCAGGCTCACCTCCCAGACGCGGCCGTCGGCCATGACGATGATGCGGTGGGCTGCCCGGACGGTGCTCAGCCGGTGTGCGATGACCAGCACAGTGCGGCCTGCACTGGCCCGGTCCAGGGCCTCCTGCACCACCCGCTCGGACTCCGCGTCCAGGGCGCTTGTGGCCTCGTCCAGGATCAGCACAGTGGGCTGCTTGATAAGGGCACGCGCGATGGCCAGGCGCTGCTTCTGGCCCCCTGACAGGGTTGTGCCCCGCTCACCTGGGGAGGGAAGGGCAGGGCCTGGGGCACGAGGTCCTTCTGGAGCTCCCATCAGGCCCCTCTGCATTCCCCAGCACTGCACGTGTTGACACTGCCAGCTCCCCAGCCCACACCCGTGCAGATCAGCACACACGCTCGCACGGGACAGGCGTGCACACAGTGGGCTCAGTGCCCTGGGGGACCACCGATGCCCTTCCCTGCAGGCTGCTCCTTCTGTCTGAGGCTCAGCTGCTCCTGGGTGTCGGCTGCTGTGGGGGACACTCGGCACCTGGTCACTGGTTTCCAGAGTGTGGTGGGTCTGGAACCCATAAAGCACGCAGAGCAGCGGCCTGCCAGCTGAAGATAGCCTCCGAGCCAGCACAGGGTCAGGTCACCGCAAGGACGGCCAGAGATGCCCCAGGTGAGCAGGGGGCACCGAGATACGAGGTAGGAGGAAAGAGCCACCCAAAGAGTCGTGGCAGCTCCAGGTAGAACGGCGCAGCAGGTCAGCGTGAATGCAGCAGGATTATGACCCGGATGGAGGGGCAGAAGACAGGCGGGGGGAGGGGGGGCACGACTCTGAGGCTGAAACTCTTTTAGACTGCAAAGGCGTGAGGACCCTCGATAGTCCTGCACCCCGAGACGTGCTGGCACATCCAGAGAGAGCCAAGGCCTGGATGACAAACACGGCCCCTGGGGTTGAAAGGAACCCGAGCCGACACCAAAGGCTGCGTGTGGCTGTGGTGCGGTCCATGGCGGGACACTGCGTGTTCTGGTCTCCCAGACCCCAGCCCTCTCTGGGAAGTCAGAAGAGTGACCTGCTCAACCGAAGCCACCCAGCATAGCCCCAGAGGGAGCACCTTGGAAGAACACAGGAAAGGAAGAAACCGGAGCCAGACGGGGAGAGGCAGCTCTGGGAAGGGCTCAGCCTCAGGGCAGAGCAGCCCCAGGGAAGCGGGGGGCCACGGCCAGGCTACGGTCACACCCTGGCCCTTCCTGCCTTGTGGGGTCTGCTTGGTCCGCTGTGGCTGAACCACATGGGCCTGGTCTCCTGTCCCTGCATGACTGTCTCGGTCCCCTTCCCACAGTGCTGTTCTTCCTGGGCGCGACTGTCTTTCTCACTGTCCCTGTCTTCAGTCATACTGGACCCTACTGTCCCCCATCCTCACTGCCACAGGACCTCGAAGACAGCAGGGTGAGTCCCTGGAACTCACCAACGATGGTGTTGTAGCCCTCGGGGAAGCGGGTGATGAACTCGTGGGCGTTGGCTTCCCGAGCCGCGGCGTACACTTCTTCATCGGAGGCTCCCAGCTTCCCAAAGCGGATGTTCTCCATGATGGTTGTTCCAAACAGGACTGGCTCCTGGGGGAGTGGGGACACAGAGACGGAGCTCACCAAGAGCACCCCGACTTGGCCCAGAATCCTGGGGGCTGTCACGTGTGGCAGGAGGTCTGTTTGGAGGGTCTTGGAAGAGCCGGACGTTCAAAGTCAGAGGTGACGACGCAGAGCAGCCTGTAAGGGAAGGCGGGCAGGCCTCCCAGAGGGCGCACTCTCTCTCAGGGAGCAAGTGGGAAGCAGCTGGGACGCAGGCAGGGTGGGGCAGGGTGGAGGACCCTGTGCCTGGCTTCCTGCTCCAGGTGGCTGTGCCCAGGCAATGCAAGTGTGCCCTCTGCACACAGGCCCACGGGGAGAGCGGGCCCCGGTGGGCAGCGCCACCTCAACAGGGCCTAGCACTCGGGCTGGAGCTTGGCCTTCTGGCACTGGCTGGGCGATGGCCACTGCGACATGACCACAGGCTTCTCGGACCACTGGACACTGGCTTTGCAGAGGGTCCCAGGGAGCCCGAGACACACACCCGCTTAGACGGCTTTGAATGAGAAAAGTGTCCCTGCCCAGAGAGACGAGGGCGGGGCTGCAGCTGACCCCAGAACAGGGGGGCCTCGGACCCAAGGTGGCCAGGGAGCCGGGAAGGCCAGAGGCCTTCTGTGAGCTCAGATGCAGGTGGGGAGAGAAAGGAGCAAGAGGAGTGGGGCTGGCGGGGGGGCTCTTTCCGCACCTGGCTGATGAAGCCCACGACCTGGCCCCGGAGCCAGGAGGGGTCGAGCGTGCGTAGGTCTCGCCCATCCAGTGTCACCACGCCCGCCGTAGGGTCATAGAAGCGCTCCAGCAGGGATGCCACGGTGGTCTTTCCTGGAGTCAGGGTGTGGGCAGGGAGGCGAGGGTCCCTCAGACTGTCCCAGGGAGGGGCCCTTAGGGCGGTGGAGGGAGAGCCCCGGCTCAGGGAGGGCAGGGCAGCTGCTGCAGGTGGGGACCCCTGCCCACACGGCTGCCAGGGACAGCCAGAGGGTGCGGGTTCCACTTACCTCCCCCAGACTGGCCTACGAGGGCCACGATCTTGCCTGGGGGCAGCGTCAGAGTGAAGTCTCTGAGCACCTCGAAGCCAGGACGGCAGGGATAACTGGGAGGAACCAAGGGACCCCCATGAAACCAGGTTCCTGTGCCGCTTGCTGCCTGGGGCCCTCCTGAAGCCCACCGTAGCCCCAAGGTTTGTCCAGGGGCATCAAGCCGGGCCTCCCCACAGAGCCCCCATGCCTGCTCAGTGGTGCTGACCTGAAGGACACGTTCTGAAAGGTGACTGAGCCATGCAGGTGCTCCCTGGGGACACGGCAGCCCCCGGACAGTGGGATGCAGGGGCTCAGGGTCATGTACTCGAAGACGCGGGTGCCAGCGCTGAGCCCCCGCACCACCTGCAGGAGGGGACAGCAGGCCATGGGGACAGGCTGGACTCTGGGCTCAGATACCTCCTGCTCCCAGCCCTTGCCCAAGGCTCAGGCATTAGGCTATGCCCAGGGAAGCTGCAGCCCAAAGCCACATCCACCACAGCCCCTGCCCCGCAGCCACTCACCTGACCAAACAGGACAGAGAGGTTGGCCATGGACCTGCAAGGAGGGGTGGAAGGTTGGAAATGGTGAGAGGAGAAGAGCCAGGGAGAGGGCATGGGGAGGGAGCAGGTAGTCTGAGGCCAAATGCAGACAGCCTCCAGTCTGGGGTATAGTGACCGGGGCTGAGCCTCAGCTCCCTCCCTGCCCTTGGTGAGGACTTCCCTTGGCCTACCCAGGATTCAGTGGGGGGATGCGTGGGAGCATGTGTGGGAGCTCCAGGAAGCAGATGTGGGAGGCACAGGGCCTCAGTGGGCGCCCGCCACACTGTCTAGGCTGCAGCCTGCAGGGTGACCACCAGCCCTGCCTGGCCCTGGTGAGGTGGGCTGGGTGGCCACCAAAGACATCAGGTCTGAGGCCGACTCCTGGGTCAGTGGTGGCTCAAGTTTAGACGAAGGTGAAAGCCCCATGGTCAGACAAAGATGGAGGATGCTGGGCTGCAGGGGGAACCAAACACCTTGGAAGAGGTGCTGTTGTGGGGTGCCCTGCAGTTGTGCCTGTTTGCACAGGAGGGGTCATACCTATCTGGTGTTGGGGGTGGGGGCTGAGGTCATCGACCATGGTGGCTGGCCATGGGTGACAGTGTGCCTGCCGCTGTGTGGTCCTGCCTTTAGAAGAGGACAGATCCCTGTGCTCCTCGGGTTGCAGGACTCACTTCTCCCAGCCTGGGTGTGGGTGCCAGTGTGAATGGGAGGGGCCCCAGCCCTCAAGGACCGGTTCTGGCAAGATCGGAGTGAGCAGCGCTTGCCAAGGGAGGGGAAGCAGGCAGGGACAAGCAGTGCAGGGAGTTAAGGGGGAAGATCCTTGTGGAGAGATCTGGAAACCATTAGGGCCTGGCAAAGGGGCTGGGCAGCCACTGAAACCCAAAACCCATATGACTCATCGTGCCTGACCCTGCCCTGCCCGCGGAGGTGCTGCAGGGTGCAGGCCCTGCAGTCTCAGGTGGGGCCCAGCCTGGGTTCTGAGAAGGTGCTGGTCTGGGCGCCTTCCCTTCTCCACCAAGAGGGTGGGGTCGAGGTGGGCGGGGCTGTTCCACCCTGGCTCTGCCTCCTGGGCTGACTGGCAGGGTCCACCTTCCTAAACCCAGTAGGGATCCAACTTTTCCAGGGTGCACGGCTCAGAGGCCAGAGGGAGGGGCCCAGGGCCTGTGGCCGCAGGAGCTGGCAGTGAGGCAGCTCAGCCCCGCGAGCCCCATGGGTGTTCTGCAGCTGTGAAAAGATTCTGTGCTGTGGCTAAGAGCGAGAGCCAGTGCTCAGGCCACTGCAGGGAGCTGGCCTGTGGGAAGTCATCCTGTCTGCCCACTGTGGAGGCCAAGGGATGAGCTCATCAAGGAGACCAGTGGATGTCTCAGGGTCTGCAGGACTACGGCCCCCAGAGAGGCCACATCACGGTCCAGTAGAGGGTGGAGGTCAGCAGGGCGCAAGGGTAAGCAGCCCCACCTCGGCCTGTGAGGCACAGTGGTCCCGGAGCCAC